TGCATCTACCCCAGGGTGTCAGGTACTCCACTGCTTCCCAGGGACGTCTCTGGGCATCTACCCCAGGGTGTCAGGTACTCCACTGCTTCCCAGGGAGGTCTCTGTGCATTTATTGATCCTGTTCTGCACAATGTTGGGGCACAACTGAGGAACAGGTGGAAAGGTCAATAGGTTATGAGATTGTACTCTAATTGCTCTTTGATTATAAAATTAAGACAAATTACTGAAAACTCAGCTCAGCTCATCTTTTTCCTAGTATAATGCCAAGACTATATGAGTAAATTTTGTCAGAAAGACAGCGAAAAGGTTATTCACTGTAACCAGAGAAACGGCATGTTATTAGAGGTAAGTGCTGTGCTAGGGGAGATGGTGTTCCCTGGCCTTATGTTAATTATAAATTCTAAGAGCAAAAACAGTATCACCAAATACTTTTTCCTCCTTTAACTGGATTAGTAGAATCATATTCTGCAGAAGTTTTGATTAGTATAGCTACTTCGCAGTCATAAGATTCGGTGTACACGTGGTACTGGGCAGTGCCATTCTTTCAGAGACCACCATGCAAGTCTGCTTCTCGCTGCTCTACTCCGTCTGCCCTCGTCAGTCCCTCTTGCACCCTCGTTCTGTGGCACTGTGTGTGAACACATTTTCAGTATAGTAGGCTGAGAGTTTTGAGGGTTCTTGCAAGGTGCATTGGTTTGGAGAGAGCAGCTTGTCTGGCATGTCATTTGTAATTTCTGTCAAGACCCTCGCAGATGTTGAATGTGCACTATAGTCCTGTGCAGCACCTGGCCAGGCTGTGGGAAGTTGTGCTCATATTAATGGATGTATGATATAGTTGCCATGAAGAAAACTTTCATGCTAGTAGGCCTCTTACTCCTAAAACAGAACATAGATCTTTATGGGAAAGGATAGCAATTATAAACACATCAATAATTCAGACACAGCTAAATGGAAAATACAGTCTTGGGAAATTGCTCCCTGAAGAGAAATCTAATATTGTCATTCTTATATCACCAAATACATGCATGTCACAGGCAGTGTCATGAGGGGAAGAAGCCCCTCCGACTCAGGAGTCAGGGAGGGCAGATGCTAGTGAGCCTCCTCTCCTCCGTCTGGCCTGACGTGGGTTACGTGGCTTCCTCTTTCCACCATCTGTGAAACCACAGGATAATCTCTGCCACGTGAGTCAGGGGAATGCATATGATGCCCGTGTCGTGCCTAGTTGTGTAGTAGACAATCATTAGTTGACAGGATTTTCTTTCTCTCTCTCCCTCTCTCTCTCTTTGAAGAAGAATTTGCCCCTCTCTTCCTTCAGGCGTGGCTTTTCTGTCTGTGGCGATCACTATTTAGAAGTTTGACCTCTGTTAGTCTGCACCAGTGTGACGGAATTCCAGGCCTCAGCTTCTAAACCAGAGTCTGATTAGTAGGGAACAGCAGGAAAGATGCAGTGACAGGCTGGAAATCCTTCCTGCCTACCTGCAGCTTTTCTCATCATCTGTTCTTTGTATTACTTTTACTTTTGTTTGGTTAATTTTCTCATTATTCCCTTTATGGTCTTCTTTGTTCCTGGAATAATTTGTCAACTAATTATTTTCCAACCTACATTTTCACTCCCCTTCAAATTCTTTTCTTTTGAAAATTCTCCCCCTTTGGAAAAGTGTGTTCTTAGGATTAAGAAGAAGACAGGAGTAGAAACCCTCCTGCCCCCCCAGGCCTGTGGAGCAGTTGCCATGCTTCCTCTGGGTGCAGGGAACCCTCCTGCCCCGCCCCC